GCCGCGGACGCCATGGACAACCCTCAGGCTGCGGCGGCGGCCAACAACGTGGTCAATCCTCCGGCGGCGGGGGCTGCGGTAATGTGCTTCACATTCACACTCTTTCTGTCAAGATATATCGACGCTGCTGCTTTTTCCTTGCTCAACTGCATGGCTTGTGGGGGGCGGGATGCCATCATTGCCACTGATCTTCTCAAGTAACCCCTCCGTCTCAAAATAAGTGTCTCAGATTTAGCAATACAACTTTAATACTCCCTTCATAAAAAATTATAAAAATGTTTAGATCACTGTAAATTTATAATGAAGTTGAGACACTTGTTTCAAGACATACTGACTTGTCGCGCTGAACTGCAGCAGGCCAATCCTCCGGCGGTGGCGGCGGCACCAGCCAACAACGTGGCCAATCCTCAGGCGGTGGCAGCTGCGGCAGTGTGGATCAACGTGGCCAACCCCCCGGCGGCACCAGATGTGGTAATTTCCCACAGATTTGCAGCTTTACCAGTATCCCCGCCCCGATGAATTGACTTGAGATGGAACCTGTGGTCGCATGCTCAACTGACTGCTGCAGGGAGCTCTGCTGCTGATAGTTGGGCTCGTCTTGTTGGCGATGGTGTTGCTGCTTAGGCTGGTGCTGGCGTGACTCTGAGTAGTACGACCTCATCGTGTGCGCGGCTAAGGAGTACCACTACTACTTATTACGTATAAAACTATAAATTATAACCTGCATATATAGAGAGAGTTTGTTGTTCGTACCATCTATGAACTTCATTGCGAACCAAGTTTCTCTGGGCCTGGAACAGCATTCGACATGCTTTTCCTCGTCTGAATGATCGACTAAATAAAGCGGCAAGTTTGTAACCCCTGCTTCTACTTCAGGCTTGGAGAATAACTCAGCATGGTTTTACAGTTTGGATTGTCGACAAGATAAACCGACTTGTACTCATGTGCGCATGAATTGTTTCTGAAGTAAATCTACAGCTTGGTACTATATGTCAACTATGACCTATATTGCATTTTATCCACGGATGTGTAAATGTAGCAAATTTTGCTGAAAAGGCCTAGTGAATATATATAACATTTCTTTGAGCGAATCATAATGCCTAATTAGCTACAATGAGAAATTTTGAGAGGGCCCCTCTTACCTCCGAGAGGTAAGAGGATAATTTAATCCTAGCCGCTGGTTAATTGAGGGCAATTTGTCTATATAAATATGGTAAATATAACAAAATAAATGCGAAACAATTTTCGACAAATTTCGTGGTCTCTCTATTTTCAAGAAGAGATTTTGCCTCTATCAAAAAATGCATACTTTCATTTATACCATGTATATGTTCGTTGAAATAGAACATGGCATACATGTTTTTTCCTTGGAGCTACAGGTGTATAATACATACTCCCTCCGTCCCAAAATTCTTGTCTTAGATTTGTCTAGATACGGATGTATCTAATACTAAAATGTGACTTGATACATCCGTATTTAGACAAATTGAAGACAAAAAATTTGGGATGGAGGGAGTATTAAAGTACAATTTTCTTAATCTTAGGACATTCCTTGGTTTTAAAATTAGAATCATGTGATATATCATCATGTCAATGCCACTTCAACATTCATGTGGCACACATGGTTAGCAACTCAAACTTGATGATTTTTTTAATATTATTTATACTTAAGTATGCATATTGATAGGTTGCATGCTGATGTATTTCAAATGTCAAAAATATGGTTTCTCTAAATTAAGATTGATATATAATCAACATATTCATGTATTTCAAAAATTGGGTATGCTATATTCATATCATATGTACTTCTCACAAATGTCACATCATTTACATAAATAGTACTCCCTCCGTCCCAAAATAAGTAGTAGTATCTTTTTTAGTTGGAACCAAGTAAAATTTCAGATTGGTGTGCCGAGGGTGAACGTGCAACAGCTGCTTAATTAGTGCTCACTCAAGTCACTCATATAATCTGTACTGATAGATATTGACAGAAAGATTGTGAAATTTATTTCTTCTTCCTGGGTTGTTGAAGCTACGAGAGCCGAACTTCTTCTGATGCTCATAAAAAAAAGCTGGCGAGGGACGTTCATAAACTTTAACCCGCTGAACCTCACTAGGATTCAGAAAAACGCACGACGACCTGATTATTTGTGCCAATAGATCAGAACTTGGGGAGTGTGAAAACACAATTCTGAAGAAATTAAACTGAACTAGATTGAATTATTATTTTCTGTATAATAATATAGTCAGAGGTTACAAGGCGAATTCGATGGCACAGTTGAATGATACGGGTTCCATTCTCAGGCAGTATAAAGAGGTACAAATATCACAAGATCAATAAGTTTACAGTTCATATGTCCTGAACCAGGGCATTGGTTTCCGATAAATCAATTGAATAAGTCTATGATTTGTCACACCCATTAAGGCCCTGTTCGGAACTTCCCCGCTCCGCGGAGTTGGGGAGCTGGGTTTTGGCAGCTCTGTCAAAGTAAGCTAAAGTCGGGTCCGCTCCGGGAGCGGAGTTAAAGGAGCCGAGAGAAACCGAACGCAGCCTAAATTCCGTTTCTGGGGATTTGGGAAGAGCCTCCTGTACAAGGCTCGCTGTAAGCTACAAGAACCCGCCTAGTGTGCCTATCTACTCTTGCACTAACATCACAACCCCCATTGGATAGGGATTTCTAAAGACCAGCAAAGCTACTGAACCTCCTGATTCCATCATCCAATGGTGAATATTCCTTTCTTGATTCCATCACTGGATGTACTAGAATGGTGTTTGCTTTCATCGTCCTCCGACGGAAGCGGCACACCGAATACCCAGTCGAGGACATTCAGGTACTTGGACCGGAAAACCTCCCTTTCCTGGGCATAGCAGTGCATAATGATCGAGGTGGCCATGCTGAAAACCACTACATCAGCTCGCTTGATCTGCAATATTGGAGGGCAGAGTCCGGCGTCGGTCATGCATGTGAAGAAACTCTCGATGGCTCTGGCAAGGCAGTACAGGGATATCTCGGTTCTCCTGCTTTTCTTCTCGATAAACAGTGCCAGACCCGCCGGGAACTGCCACATCAAAGCAAGTTAGTATCGCAGAGATGGTTAACTGGACTACGCTTAGTCCATGCGGTGCGGTAAACTGTGTGTCTTCACTTACCGTGCCAAGTACAACGAGTGGAGTACTGCACTTCTCGAAGGTTCTAAAAAGGAAGCATGTCCAAGCCCTAAAATAGAGAAAGAAACAGCATGAATTGCTGTGCCAACAAGGGAGGTTGGCGCTACATCCACATTCTTGATACGACAAGTTAGGGGTTAAAATAAAAAGAACTCACCATGCAGATGCGCAATACATTGAGAGGAACAGGCTAGATCTTGCTGTTCCTAGAAGACTCTTGCCCATTATTGTGTAAGGCCTGCATGTTGTGAGGTCTTCAGCACACTTAATGTTGTAGACACATGTTAGGTGTATCCAGCTATGCTAGAGTTGTACCCAATAAGGAGTCGTTGTCCTAGGGGTGAAGTTATGTTTTTGCAAAAACTGCAGAAGGCAGCATGACAGCTCCCGTAGAATGCAAATAGATAACATACCACGAAGAGCACTCGTTTTTTCAATCTAGATAGGACATAAATTTTTACACTTTGATACTTACACGAAGCACAATTACCCTGAGGACATCAAGCCCAATTAATGCAGGGCCTGCATGTTTTTTGGCAGCAAAAAAAAAGCGCTCTTCACAAATATGAGCAACGTAACATGTCAGTTTGCTTGATACAGTTGTGTACCTTTTCATCAGATCCTGCCGATGAACTACAAGTGCAGGGACTAGGTAGACTGGAATATAGACAGGAACTGCTCTTCCATATGCTTGTAACAAGAACGAAATAAAATGTCCTGCACATGATTGATTACCGTGCACAATCTGGTTTGAAGAGAGAAGAGATTAGATGAAGGAAAAGGTTTAGATTAACAGAAGGAATAAAAACAACAAATGGTAGGAATTAACAAGGAAAACTTCAACAATTATTCACAGCAAAATGTTATACCTGAATGCTTGATAGGATACTATAGTATATTAATGTGATGCAATCATGCGACACAACATGTTATAAACAAAGGAAATTTTGACAGTTATTCACAAATTTGTAGTACTTACTGAGCAGGGCACTTTCATGTCTGGATCCAACTTTATGTCAACACCAACAGATTTGTAGTACTTCTCAATAGCCTCTAGGTTAGAGAAAGCAGTGTGGTTAACTACTTCCTTCAAGCCTTGCAGAATAGACTGATCCTTTCCACCATGCATCTTCAGAAATGATTTATATGATGACGGCAAACTGTCCTGCTGTAGAATGTATGCAGATCTGCGGAATCAACAATATAGGCAAAACTCACTATTCCCACATCCTATTGAATGTATACCGCAAAATATATATAACAAAATACTCACCAATCACTGGTGCATGATGCCTATATGTTTTAATAATGTAACAAATGGTTGAAGTTATTTCAAACAAGATAACATGGGAAATGCCCTTGAATCTACAAATGTATCACATTCTTACATTTATATTCCAGTCCCTGTAATGCACTCTATGATTCCATGTCTCAAATATTTGGACTCGCAAAGCAATTACAGTCCAACAAACACATTCCTTTTACACATTTTCTCAAAACTGACCCTATTGTTGACTTGTGACTTTTGCCTAACATCAAAATATTGTCTGCTCATTTGAATTGAATACGGTGCATTCCAATGAGACATTAGTGAACAACATGAAAGATAAAGCATTGCCTTCTAGGTTTACATGCTATTTTTTTATGATATAAATAAATAGCACATCATCTCAAATTTCACTGAAGAATGACACAACTGTTACGGATCAAATGTAGCTGCTATTTTTGTTAACAAAGTAGCCCTTATGTGTCACAAACAAGGTATCTCAAGAGGATTTTGAAAATTCAGAGAAGTTGTCCGTACTACTTTGTAATGCCATGTGCAAATAATATTTCCAGAAGTTAACATACAATGGTTCAAAAATCTGTTATGTGACCCTTTTTTACAATAATCAGTACTTGACCTGCATAAATTTGAAATGCTATACTAGTTTCAAGTGTTGGGTGTAGCGCAATAGGGCCATCAGACCCAAATAACTCCATACACTGCATATCAGTGTATATTAACAGGGCTAAGCGATCTCTGTACATAATACAGTAATAACATTGGCATATACGAAAACGCATACGAATTCTGTCAATGGAACTTACAAAATTTGTGCAGATGAAAGGCACATAAGGAAGACATCACCATGTGACCAGGTCAAAGGTTTGCAAATCTTTCCAAATCTTTTGCTCTTTATTCCACAACGGGATGCAAGCACCGCAGCACGCATGAGAATGTATATTGCCAAACTGGTATGCTGCGTGCCTGGCCCCGTCAAGAGCATAGAAGGACCAGCAATTAACCCAGATAATAATGACCTCCACCTTGCTGTTCTGAAGCAACAAGAGTATTGAGTTATATACTATCCCAAAACAAACCCATACATTAAAGAAGGACAGTGTGGAAGATAGAATGGGACAGAAAACAAATTGCATTCTGTGATATAACCAAAGTTTAAATGTGTAATGCGTTTTGTAGCGGCCAACCCCCTTCATAACTTTGTAACGCTTATGTCGTATTGTAAGGCGACTTCATAGGCACAGCCTGGGAGTCCATTCAGTGGTTTCATGGCATGTGTGTAGAAACCTGACTAAAGTCACTGAAAATTGGAAATGTGGGATATTTTCTTCTTTTTTAATTATTGGAAAACAAAATAAAACCAAGTTTGCGACTTTTTGTTTGCAGGATTCAAAAGTGAAGTTTGAAAGTTCTAGGTTGCAGTATCCCAAGGGAAGTTTCGAAGTCCAAAATCATCCAAGCAACATTTTATGTTAGAAAGGGGAATGAAAGAAGACCTTGCTATGGTCCTTTCGGAAGCCGTATTGATTCATCATAACGATGATGATTTAAGTTCAGACAGACTCACTATACACTATTGAGATTGCGCTCAGGTGGTTGTAAGGATCTTATTTTGGGTTAGCAAGCAACATTATATCTCCAGATCACGCAGAGTTGCATCATTTGGTATTTCCTAGCGTCAATGGAAGTCCAAGATTAGAATTTAGCAGTCAAATATTACAAATCTGTTTTGACGATACCTCAGAGTTGCAAAATGTTGGTCACTGATCAGTACCAATCTAATACTACCTCCGTTTGGGTTTATTAGGTCCGCTTATATTTTGGGTTAAACTTTGACCATCGATTTGATTTGCAAAATAAAAGTGATACTTATAAAAATTATATTGTTGGATTCGTATTTGAAAGAAGTTTTCAGTGATACTCCCTCTCTCTCAGTTTACAGGGCGTGCGCGTACCCCTAGATCGTCAATTTGACCAACGTAATACAAGTCATATATTACAAAAAGTATACCGATATAAACTTCAGATGTTCTATTTTCAAAAGGTATAATTTTTGTGTTATATAGTTTATATTAGGGTGATAAAATTGGCAACCTAAGCATACGCGCAAGACTTGTGAACTGAAACGGAGGGAGTACCATTTTTCCTACATATAACTCATATTTTATTCTGCAAATGTATAGTCAAACTTTGGCTCAAAATGTGAGGGAGGCTAATAAACCCGGATGGAGGAAGTAAAAACGAGCAATCATAGATTAAAGTAGCAAAAAAAAAACATCGTTTCCACACTGTAATCATTTGCAAACTGCAAGAGGTTGATCCCCAGGCCCTGACCAAAAATAAGCAAGCTTTGCTTGCAATTGACGGTACCAAAAAACAAAGAAGAATTTCTATGGCAATACACCTAATCCACATCAAAGCACATCTCCTTGAAAATATGAGCAGTCAGTAACAAGACATATACTACTGCTCTTCCTCCTGTCCTTCAAGAGTCTGCTCACACACTGTTTTTACACGCAACTCAGCAAAGACGGAGGCAATTATTACTTCAAATCAAGGAATCGCCCACCATCTTTGTTACAGCCAAATCGATGGCCCTTGCTATAAATAGGACAGGGAGGAACTGGCTGGTAGTAGTAGTAGTAGTACTTAACTGACAGCGGGGTGTGAGAGATACTGAGACGGCTGACCTTTTGCGGCCCCAGAGGGCGGCGATGCACTCGTCGACGGAGACGTAGGCGCCGGCGAAGGTGCCGAGGAACATGCCGTACCTGAGCGTCTCCTTGAGCGCCAGGAGCGCCGCCTCGTCGTTGGTCATCGCGCCCGCCTTCCTACACGCAGCACGCCGCACGGGTTACAACTTGCAACGCAACAAGAAGCCGCGAGCGACGGCACGGATCAGCCGAGCTTTTGCCTGCAGCGGAGCCGCGAGCGGCGGCAGCAGGGATCAGCAGAGCCGCGTGCGGGGGAGAGCGGCGAGCGCCCACCTCGATCTGGGGGAGCGGCGGCTGCGGAGGCGGACGAGGAGGGAGAAGAGCGCGAGGCCGCCCTTGAGCCCGGCGCCGATGGCGAAGCCCTTGGTGGCGGCCCCCACGCAGCGGCGGAGCCAGCGGAGGTCGTCGCCATCCCCCGCGCACCGCCGGAGCCACCGGAGCTCGCCCTCCGGGGCCGAGGGCGGGGGCTTCTCCGGCGCGGGCGCGCAATGGAGCTCCTCCAGCGAGGCGGGGGCCATGGATGAGCGGGAGATGGGGATCCACCCCCTCGCGCTCGCAGCCGCAGCGGAGCGGAGGAGACAGGAAGCCGTGCTCCGGGCGGCCTGCCTGCGTGCGTGCGTGGGCAACGTGTGTCAATGTGGGGACTAGACGAGGGAGGAATAGTAGGCCGCGGCTGCTTCTGGACTACTTTGGGGGCTCCGACGGTCCGACCAGGCGCGACCCATTCTACGTATACACAGCTAGCTCTGCGCTGCATCTGCAGGAGAACTGCTGCATGTGCTGGCTGGACCTGCAGCCGCTCCGGCCATCACTGGTTTAAGGCTGCGTGTACTACTACGCATGATTGATCTGGCTCTAGGGCGGTGCTTCATTATGGTGCCAGATGCGTAATGGGTGGATGGATGATGATTGATGGGTTTCCCCTCTCTTGGTGGGCAGGCTACAGTTGTGTGTGTGTGCGGAAAATACGATGGTTAATCATCTCCTCGGACATCACATCGACCATGTACTTGTACTAGAGCTGCGACAGTTAATTTGGATCGGACGGAGTAGCAGGTATTAGTGTTACACGCGGCGGTAGTTCTACACTGACATGTTTCAGCCTACTGAAAATAGCAGTGGAAAATCAAACACCCATGGCCGGCGAGAGGCAACAAACCACGGTCTGGTCATCGGACCACTCGCTCGGAGCGAGTGACCGGCCAGAGAGCGGGAGTTGTGCACGCAACAGCCGACACGCACGCGCACGCCCCCGTCGTGTCCAGTTACACGTCCGCGTCCGACCCATTACCAAACCGGTGGCAACTGGCAACCGCGACGGACGGACCGCGCGTTGATCCTTTCCATGCGATGCCCCATGTTTCGGGAAAGCAACACTGAGCCGATGGCATCCACGCGTGTCGCACTCAAACCGTTCTCGTTTCCACTCTAGTCTGCACCAACAGACTCGTGGCCTGAGAGCGGCGTGGCATCGCTATCGCGCAGAGGCGTCAAAACGCTCTGGAAACGAGAGAATTTTCCTTAGGGCGACGTGTCTATGTTGCTCCTTCTTCTCTACTTGCTCGTTTGGACACTTGTAGCTGGACGGCGCGGCCCAAAGTTTATTTGGCTGGGTGTTTGGCTTGGGGTTTTGTCCTGGCATCTTCCGGTTCACGTCACAGCAAGAAAACATACTGACCAAAGCAACAAAACAGCAGCACTGCAAACCATGCTCGGGGACAAAATACAAATGGATGCGACATTCACCACTGCAGGTTTCGACACCTACAGCTGCATCAAAACCACGCGATCATGTTGGTACCTATCACATGTCCCTCCCAACAAAACCAAGGTCGGCACTAGGTTAAAAACCTCATGGGAATCCAAGCTTAACTAGTTTAATTTCAGGCAACTAACTGGACGGTTTCAGTTTCATAATCCAGATACATTTTCCTCCAGGATTGGATATACTGTACAAGGAGTCACTAGAGCTAGACAACCAAGAGACCAACAAAAAAACTCAAACCATAATGGACAAGGTAATTTAGTCACTATCATCTATCTGGTGAGCCTAACAAACAAATCAGAGAGGTAATTTACAAGAACAAACGCCACTTGGTTACGACCTAGAAATAGCCAGGCAACGGCGGCATGTCATCGTCCCAGAGCTCTTTGAATTCACTCATCAAAAAGCCTTCATCCATCTCCGTCGACTCCTCAAGCATACTTTCTTCCACAGGCTGTGCCACATTAGCAACAAAAGAATTGAGTAAGCATCCCATTAAGAAAACAGAGCAAAACTCCCATTTCTTTTTTTCACCCCCAAACTCTTAAATCGGCAAAATCACGTCCAGATTTATCAAAACCAGATAGATCTCTTCCCAGGGACTACCCCCAGGCGGGGTTTTATGACGTGGCTTTGGAAATCAACTCCACGCCATCCAAAACTACTTTGGAATAGCCTCCACTTTTGATAGTTGTCCAATTTGTCTGGTTTTACAGTCGAGGGGTAAAATATATACTCTGGCAGAAAAACATGCCTAATTTTGAGCCAAAACATCATGCCTAATTGTTCAGCATCACCCTAAAACTTTTGTATTGGTGCTAGAAGGGCGGGAAAACGTAATGCTACCTGGGATTCCTGCATTTTTGTTACGACAGTCAGAATCCTCTGATATTGGTCCCGGGCTTCGGGGTACTGAACCATGGACTTCACTCTGGCAAGAGCTCTCTGCAGTCTTTCTTCAGTTTGCTTCCGTCCTTCTTGCAAGAAGTTATAATCATCCTCTGCGGGTTTAACTGGGGTTACATCGACACTGCTGCTCCTAGTGCTGCTGTCTGTTGCACCTTCTGTAGACCGAAACCCGCGTAACCCAGCTCCTCGCCGCCTCCATCGCAATATAACCTTCTCCACTATCCCGACAGACCAAATTATTTTGCGATAATGCTTTCTCACTTGGTGACCTCGCACATGAGCCTAGCCAGTACACAATATAGCACGGATGAGAAAATTTGTTCATTATAATGATAGCATCAGAAGAAAAGATACTTGACAAAGCATTATACTACTGTTAAAACATCATGTTATGATACCCTGTCCTAGATACTAGATTAGTCGAAGAGAAAAAAAATGTAGCTCATGTTTCACTCAATTACCTTTACATAAATTTGTACTCCCTCCGTCCCAAAGTAAGTGTCTCAACTTTGAACTAACCTTAGTACAAAGTTGTACTAAGCTTGAGACACTTATTTTGGGACGAAGGGAGTACATGATATATGGTCATAGTTGATTTTAGTATTGCAAAATTCAGTAGAAAAAATATGGTGTGTTGGCGTACTCATTCAGTATTAATCTGGAGCGTTCAGAATTTCAACAAAAATAATTTGATTAATTGTCATACACTTAATATTCATACCTGGATCTTGACAATTCGCTGTCTAATAAGCAGAAATTCTTTTCTTCCCTTCCATCCACGGAATTTGTTTTGTATTCGAGTTGCAGCAGCATGCATGGGATCGAATTGCCCTGGTTTAGATGGTTTATAAGACAAGAGTGACATGGCACGTTCATCTGATATCACACCATTGTCATCCTCATACTGAACTGCTTGCTTTCTCTGGAAGGACTGCACCCTGAAAACTTGATATATCCGAGCAGCAGCTTGGGCAGCATTCCGCACAGCACCTAGTGAATCTCCCATCGATCCAGCCTGAAGACCTTGACCTGCCGATGGTGAAGCAATTCTTCCGGTAACATCTCCAATACCAGGTAGACCAGATACCTCTGATGCATTGCTCCCCATGGCTTCCTTCAGGTTGAGGGTTTGAAGATGGCTTGTTAAAGAAAACTCTGCCAGGAAACCAGAAATTCCCTTGTGCCCATTGAACGACGCAAGATCAGCTGGTGTGCGTCCTGAAGGGAAATCAGGCCTTGGATCCGTCAAAGCTCCAGGAGCCGCACCTAATGCTATAAGAGCAACAACTGTTCGCTCTCTGCAGAACAGGGCAAACAAGTTTAATACATATATATCAATATATGTATGTATGGATGGATGGATGTATATATGTTCAAACAAAAACTATCACCCTCACAAGAACTTACCTGCCACAAAATGCTGCCCAGTGAAGTGCAGTCCACCCATGAACATCTCTGAAATTTATGCTTACACCAGCAGTTATTGTTGGCCTTATCGCCCAGTCATATCCTAGAGCAGCTGCCAGATGAAGAACGCCCTGCCCTTCATCATCTAACACACTGGGACCTTTGCCACCACCTCCTGCTTTACGGAGAAGCCAGATATGCAGCTTTTCTTTCATACCGCTTTCAACAAACTGATCCTGCCTATCATCAGGGGCAAGCTGATTATCATCAGCGAACTTTAGCAATTCAGACCACTGATCATTGTTTGTCATCAATGAGGTTATCTTCTTGTTCAAATCAATCAACTCCTTTGTGGGGTTAGATAAAGCTGCCTGGAACTCATCTTGCTCATCTTGTCCCAAAGACAATAATTCATCGAGACGCGCCTGGAGATATATTTTGTTTGTAGCACCATGTGGACTTGGAGCATCCATGTATTGAGAATCACTTGGTCGATATTCAAACTCTCGTACTTCACTGCAGGCTAACCTGTTGGAGCAAGTCACATAAAAAGGGACCCTGCCAGGTTTGTGCGAGGGAGAATAACACCTGAGAGTTCCGTCTGCTAAAATATCTGCTGGAACTTCGACTTCTCCAAACATACACGACCACTTGAGCTTTATAACTTCGTCAGAAGTTAGGAATCTACCAGTAACAAGAACCTGCAGGACACAAGAAATTTTGTAAGCAGTTAAAAAACACCAATTCACTCAGACACCAAGACAGTTCTATTTCGTATGGCACTCCTAAGACTTTCAAGCTTTAGAAGCATAAAGGTAAATAAAAGGATAAGTGTAAGAAGACATACCCTAGTCTTTGAACCTGCGTATGTCCAGCTTGGAAAATATTCAGTTATACTAAACAGCTGATCTTGTGCAACCATTGGGTCCAGAGTAAACTGATCCAACTGATCACGGCTCGATGCTCCAATGATATTGTCAGCATCTTCACTGTTCCAGTACAATCCAGAACTGGACTTAACTTGGGAATCATCTACTTCAGCAAGTTCTTTGCTCATCCATCTAGTAAAACTATCACTTTTCTTAAAGCTGTCCTTCAGGATATCAGAAAGATTAGATGATTGAGTTTTCAGGACGGGGAAATTAATGGCTTCCTCCAAAAGTTTATTGTTTTGTTCAAAACTGTCCACTGTAGCAAATGTACTATCAGTAGCACTTGGAAGCTGAAATTCAGTAGTCCTGCCATCAATAGCACTTGGAAGCTGAAGAAATTCAGTAGTCGTACCATCATTAGCACTTGGAAGCTGAAATTCCGTAGTTTCACAAGTGAGTGCAAAAACCAAATTGAAGCCGGACAATAATAGTATATATTTTAGGGGGAAGACAATAATAGTATATATTTTAGGGGGAAGACAATAATAGTATAATATCAGTAGCA